CATTACGTTTAGTCAACAAGTGGCATAAGAGAACTTCCATGTACAAAAGCTTTATTATACCCCCCCCCTCCTCCATACAAATCATAAGCAGGCTTGACAGGTTTAGATTTCTATCAGTAAATGTCAGTAAACATTGATTTTACCGTATACATAAACCAAACAAAAAACATTTCCATTGAAAATAATCTAAATTTAAAGACCGGCAAAGAAAGAAAAATGCTGCTTGAGAACGAGTTTGATTTAAGCATATTTACTTTGTATATTTTGACATGTGTTCTTGACAGTTTGTTTTTAACAGTTATAAAGCTTAAACTTTTTGAATCTCAACATCTACTGTCATTAAATATTGTCCAACCCCTCCCATAATTTCCCACAGCTGTGAAAAATGTCAAAATAAAAATAAAAAGTTTAAAATGGATACTCTTCTGCCCTGTGAAAACTGAAATTGATAAACATTGAAAAAATGCTTAAAACTAAGCATTGATATATCAAAATGATAAAAATCACAAATCAAATTCTGCCATGATTAAAAATAAGAAGCTAACAGAGGACAGGTGAGTAAACATAATTATTCTAACATCTCCCATTTTCAATGTTTATTTTTAGCAAACATATGATATACCCTTTGTAGATGTTTATATACCAGAGTGACAAGGATAGTATAGAAATCCAGAAAAATGGATAGGAGAAAAGGGGAATTGAGAGCAGTAGGACACACAATCTGGAAAAAAATATACACTTACTTGGGAGCTGTGGTTCCAGTGTTGCCTGAGAATGGATTCCTATCTTAAATAGGTTCTCTTAAAATTATCCTTTCGTCTTCTCCAGACTCACAGGATTTCATTTTAGCTCTACTGTAAGGACCAATGAATATTTGAAATAGAAATCCTCGCTCTTTGCCCTCCCTGCTACATTTAATAGCAGGTCAACAGCAAATATGTTTGTTTGAATTTCATAGCTCTACCTATCTCCACTTTATATTAAAGAATTTATAGCAATGCTAAATTTGATTCTATGGTATAGAAATAGTGCATAGAAACCCTGTGCTGCAGACTCTAGAGTGTCTATAATAGGCTCTGGAGGAATATTTGCCATTCATATTATTAATCCTCTAATCCAGGGGTCGGCAACCTTTCAGAAGTGGTGTGCTGAGTCTTCATTTATTCACTCTGATTTAAAGTTTTGCGTGTAGGGTGACCAGATGACAAAGATGAAATATCAGGATGTAGGGGGAGAGGGGGGCAAAAAAAAAAAGCAGCCAGCGTGCCCCCGCCAGGTGGTAGTGGCACAACCCCATCTCTACCCAACTCTTGGCTCCTACCCCCGATACACCCCCAGCCCCTCGCTCCCGGGCCCAGCCTGGGCTCCGAGCTGTGCAGTTGAGCTGCGCTCCGGGCCCCTCCTGCAGCTCCCGGCCCAGCCGCTCCTGGGCTCCGTTGCCCTGGCCCCACAGCAGAGGCTGCTCCGCTCCACCATACCTGGGACACTCGCCCCCGCAGCCCCTCTCTGGCCGCGGCAAGCTTGGGGACCCACCCAGGCAGGGGGCGAACTAGGCAGCCGGGCCTGGCCCCTCCCAGTAGGAGTGTGTCCTTCCCATGCATGTCTCCGCCCCCTGCCTGCTCCACGCTGCCCCTGGACCCACTGCGCTGCCCAGGGGGCTGCAGGGCAGGAGCAGCCCCCGCACTGCCCTCCTGGCCCCGGCCCGTGTGCAAGCCTGGGAGGGAGGAGGAATGCCACGTGGTTGGGGAAAGAGGCGGGGATTTGGGGAGGGATCCAATGGGGGGGGGAGGAGGGGGCGGGGCTGGGATTTGGGGAGGGATCCAATGGAGGAAGGAGGGGGTAGAGTCAGGGCGGGGCGGGGGGACGCGAGAGCCCCTCCGGGCTCCACCTGTGAGCCGGAGCGGAGGGCAAAATTGCTTGTTTGTCCCGCGTCCCGACCAAACATCGGTTGGGACGCGGGACAAACAAGCAAATATCAGGACAGTCCGGATAAAATCAGGACGTCTGGTCACCCTATTCGCGTGCCATACATTTTAATGTTTTTAGAAGGTCTCTTTCTAGAAGTCTATAATATATAACTAAACTACTGTTGTATGTAAAGTAAATAAGGTTTTTAAAATGTTTAAGAAGCTTCATTTAAAATTGAATTAAAATGCAGAGCCCCCCGGACCGGTGGCCAGGACCCGGGCAGTGTGAGTGCCATTGAAAATCAGCTCGCGTGCCATAGGTTGCCTACCCCTGCTCTGATGCATTTAGCCCACATGCATGTATTCTGATGTTTGCACTGAACGAATCTTACTTTTCCTGCAGGGTGCATAAGGCTCATCCTTTAGCATTTCTGTGGCATGGAAGGGGCAGAACAGTGAAAGCCAACATAGATTTGCAAAGACTCCTGGGTGGTGGCATTGCATGATCTGTCATAATACAGACTCCCCAACCACAGATCACCCTCAGGATAAGGTGGGCAGAAAAGCTGCAGAGGTTACTGAAACCTGAGGCTGAAAAGCAGCTACAGAATGGCCACACTAACACTCAGTGACTTGCAGTGGCTAGAAGGAGATCCTGTCCCAAAGAGCTTCCCAACACAAAGTTTAGTTATTCTGGCTGGGTACAGGGAACAAAAGTTGCTCCTCAAAGAGCAAATTACTAAACAAGGAACATTTATAGTAACAGTGTCAGAAAGATGCATAAACTAATTATTTCAAGATGCATTAAAATATAACCGGTTGATGTTTTATAACTATAAAGTCTACCAACTGTTAATCCAGTTTTGGAATGTCTTCAAAATTTTATACAAACTATACATTTTATTATGGTGGAGAACCATCTAGCAAAATGTTTCCAGCATAAAGAATATGACATTGAGAAACTGAGGAACAGAATCTTTAAAAGTTTGACACTAAAGTTTCAGTAAATCATGAACATCAGTTTATTTCTCATAGCGATGGGCCTACAAGATTTTTAAAAGATAAAGTCAAAGATTTTTAATAATCCAAAAATAATCTATTTATTCAAAAAGAATCTATTTTAATAAGATTTTGCTAAACTTTCTGTTGCTGATACTTTTATCCATTTAAACTCCTTACAATAGATCTCATGGAAAATGTCTTCCTTTTCCATAACTGGATCGATTTAATGTCTTCCATGTCTGTACAAGAGAGCAAATATTGTACACATGTAGAGCAGATTATCTACCTCTTACTATATATTGTATTAGTTGTAATTTCTTCTCTTTTCCAATAGGTGGAGTTTGTTCAACAGTTGCCAAAGACAGTCAGTGGGAAGATCAGAAGAAATGAATTGCGCAAGCAGGAGTGGGGAAAAGCTTAGAATTATCTACTGTTTATTTTCCATAATTTGTTCTTCCAAAAATATTATATATTGCTGATATATGGTGCAATTTTTTGTTCTCTTGACCTACTATACATATTACAAATTTAGAGCATCATCGTGCATTGTATGCACAACTAAAACTTCACTGACCGTAGTGAAAATTTTGGCTATGCAAGCAATGCAGGGTTAGATCCTTGGTGAGCATTCTTTCCCATTTGTTCTAGGCATAAAAAGCCTAAAAGCACTTTGTCTCAGTTAAAAAAACTTAGTTTTGTTATTCTCACTCCAGTTGTCTAGTTATAAAAGCACACAGGAAAACAGTGTACATAGTAGTGAGCCCCAAACCCATGTTTCCAAAACTCACCCCTTAGCACTACTATGAACTAGCTATTAACTAGAAAAGCATGCTGGGAAATAGACATGCAAACAAAAACACCACTTTTTATTTCTATTGCATCTTCCAACTCAAAGTGCTTATTAAACACTGAAACTTGCTATTCAAGATAGTCCACATTTCCAGGCCAGGTCACTAAACATGTTGTTAAGTTCTGACAGGATGATACCAGGATCCATGATTGCATGTCTGGCCTAAATCCTACTCCTGTTTAAAAATTACCACCTATGGTAGTGGCTGGATATAAGAATTTAATAGCAAAGTTTGTGTGTTCGTGTGCATTTCAATATCCAAGATGCTTATTCAACAGCGTTCACATCCAAGCTCCTGGAGCACACAAATTTGAGTGTACTTTCCTGTATTCAGTTCCTCCTGTGTTCTGGGCAATCAAGTTGCAAGGCTTTCCTCAGTTTAAGTGTTAATATATTTATTAAAACAAAAATTTGTAAAGACAATTAACCCTCATAAGCAGTTTTCCATATCTGTTAGTTTTAAATAATACACATGCAATAAGCATCTGTACTCACTGCTTGCATACTCCTGGTTCACAGCTCTCAGATATTTTTTGGTTAATCCTTTCTACTACAACTGTTTCTCTTTCTATCACACATTTTTAATGCACCCATAACCCTGGTAAATTGGTAATCTAAGGCTTACGCATAAATTTTCAAGTCAATGACTATGCTTTTGCTTCTCAGCATTCATATTTATGTTCACAGTAAGCAGTGGTTGGAACTGATATATAAAAATATTTTCCCTAAAATTTCCTTTTAGGGTAGGAAAATCTTCCCAAAATTGAGTTTTCACTTATGATAATCCTGGAATTTAAGTATTAATTTAGTGAAAGTGGGTGGATTTACAAGGTAGTCTCTGTTATTAAAAAGAACAGGAGTACTTGTGGCACCTTAGAGACTAACAAATTTATTAGAGCATAAGCTTTCGTGGACTACAGCTCACTTCTTCGGATGCAAGTGGGCTGTAGTCC